AGCCATTGCCTCTCTTGTTCCACGCCCTTTTATGAATCCGAACTGATCCTGTCCTATTACTTCCTTTATTTTGTTTTCCATTCTCCTATTCAGTATCTTCAGCACTATCTTTGAGGCATGTGATATTAAACTAATCGTTCTGTGGTCTTCACATTTCCTTGCTGATGGTTTCTTCTCTAATGGAACCATTACTATTTTGACAAAATCTTCTGGCCATTTTCCTTCCATATAAATGTGTTGACACAACTTCACCATCTCCTCTATGGTATAGCGTCATTGCCTTCTGCTTTTCATGTTTTAAGCTCTTCCATTGCTGTGAGCATTTCACTTCTCATTAAGGTCGGGCCTATATTGTACTGATCAACTTCAGCTTCTTCTATAAGCCTTTCTATAGGTTTTTCATCCTTGTTGTAAAGCATTTCTATATACTCCTTCCAACTGTTTTTGATGTCAAGCGGCTCAGTTAATAATTCTCCTTTTTTACTTTCTATTCCACGTTGTACTTTGCTTTTTCTTTTGTATATCAGAAAGTCTTTAACTTTCTGATATACTTGATCTGATCTTCCCGTTTCGGTCAATTTTTCAATTTCTCTACACTCCTCTTCCCACCATTGTTCTCTTGCCTTGTCTGTTCTTCGCAATTCGTTATTTAGTTCACGATATCTTTCTCTTCCTCTTTCGGTGTTGATATTTTTCCATTTCCTACGCTCATCCATCTTTATTAACATTTCTTCTGTCACCCAGGGCTTCTTTATTCTCTTCATTTTGGTCTTTCCAATGGTGTTTTCTGCCCCTTTAGTCATAGCATTCTTTAATCTTTCCCATCTGTTGTTAACTGAGATAACAGTGTCATCGTTACTTATCAGTTCATTGTTGGTTGCCTTAGCAAAATCATTTCTTTTTTCAGTGATTAGTTGATCTTTGTTCCATTTCTGAATAACTTTTGCCTTTGCAACCTTCTTCATTTTAAGATCCACTTTCATAATTACCAGATTGTGATCAGAACCAACATCTGCTCCTGGGTAGGAACATGAGTTCTTCACGCTTGTCTTATATCGCTGTCTAACCATGATGTAATCTAACTGTAATCTCCTTAAGTCTCCTGGTGCTTTCCAAGTATACCTTCTTCTCTGGTTGTTCTTGAACAATGTGTTTGTTAATGTTAAGTTGTTCCTCATACAGAAATCAACAAGCATTACTCCTCTGGTGTTCCTGTTCCCAAGCCTATAATTACCGGTTACATTTAAGATCTTTTCATGTTGCATTCATATCTCCTAGTACCACTACATAATCCTTGCCTTTACAGCTTGCTACTTTTTCCTCTATCTTATCATATAGGTCCCCAACTTCTTCATCTGGTTGGTCACTAGTTGGCATGTAAACAATAATTACTACTATATCTACTGGTCTACCACTCAACTGTACTACCATCAGCCTGTCGCTACAGCAGTCCACTTCCTTAACAGCTTGTCTGGCTTGCTTGTCAAGTAACACTGCTACACCACGTTCAGTCTTCTCTCCACCCGAATATATCATCGTAAAATCATCAGTTTACTTCACCTTGTTCTTTCCACCTTACTTCTGTCATTCCCAGGATGTTCACCTTATATCTTACCATTTCTCTCTTTACATTTTCTAGTTTTCCTGCTCTTGCCAATGTTCTCACATTCCATGTACCAATTCTCAACCCAATGTAAGGATTTTGCATGTTGACGACCTGGGAGGCCTTACTCTCTCCCCTGCCGGACGCGGTACCTAAATTAGTCCCGTTCACGTCGTTGTCTATAGCTTTATTCTGAAATTTCATGATGGGTAGGTATTGGCGAACGCCTCGGAAGGAATAATGAAGGTGGTTTTCCGTTGCCTTCCTCCATCGCAGTGCAAAAGCCAGAGTCAGGATCACTGACCTGCCCCCTGCTGTTCTGTAGCCACCGTTGACCGTACGGTTCGGCTCTTCCGCCAGCTAAAGATACTAGTGCAGCTGCTGCCCTATACTAGTTATGGATGGCCGTTGGCTCTAGTTGAGCTCATCCGCCCTTTGACAGGTTTTGTTTTTAGTCCTGCTGGGTGTCCACACATACACCCACCTCACCAGGTGGAGCCGGTTTAGTCGCCGACCACCCGACCATGTGGCAGGTAGTACTGGGTTACATAGTACCAGTAGCAGATCATCTTGACCTGACAGTATAGACACTTTATCACGGTGTGTGTGTGTGTGTGTGTGTGTGTGTGTGTGTGTGTGTGTGTGTGTGTGTGTGTGTGTGTGTGTGTGTGTGTGTGTGTGTGTGTGTGTGTGTATGTTTGTGTGTGTGTGCGTGCGTACGTGCGTGCGTGCGTGCGTACGTGTGTGTGCGTGCGTGTGTGTATGTGTGTGTGTGTGTGTGTGTGAGATAAACTTACTCCCAATATATGTGCTGTACGATATCTAATATCTCGAAAGAAATCTTGTTCATTTATTTGTCATTTATACAATTTTTCTTTCCTTTTGTTTGTGGAGGTAAAAATAGCATTTTATTACATGTTATGTCACAAAATCAAAGTTTTCATATATTAGCTTCAGATGTTTTGAATTGATAAAATGACTTGCTTTCTTTTCGTCAGATCCAAACATTGATTCAATAAACAGAAAATATGTTATGTTATGATTTTAGAACAACTGAACGCAGGAAACGCAGTCATGGTAGGGCTACAATGACTTTCTTTATGTGTGTGCTGAGGAACTGAAGTTGTGAAACATTTTATTTAGAATTACACAAATGAACCCCTTTTCGCGCAAAATACCATAACATGTAGTTGACAAAAAAAAAGAAAAAAAAAAAAAGAAAAAAAAAAAAAAAATAAAAAAAAAAAAATAAAAAATATATATATATATATATATATATATATATATATATATATATATATATATATATATATGTATATATATATATATAGATGTGTGTGTGTGTGTGTGTGTGTGAATATGTACATATACAAAAATAAGTATATTTTTCTTTGCCGGGGATTCAGTAAATCGAATAATTAGTAGGAGGCTTATTAATTTTGGTATTTTTACTATCGATTTATTTGTAAAAGGAAAAATGGTACTAACTGTAGAAATGCTGGGGGCTGTCATACTTATTGTAAGAACAATCTATTGTTATTCAAAATCTTGTCTAATCCCCTGGACATTAACAATATTCGCCCAAACATTTTTCATCGGGTTTGAGTTACATGCCTTGCTTGGCCGCGGAAGGACTTCCATGTGGCTTTGGTCATTGAATCACTTCGTAACTGCCCTTGACATGTGTATTGGGCAGTTATCCTGTACGAATATGGTTGTTCCTGGGAAAGGTCAGAGGATAGCAACGTCCTGATGGAAGGTATATTTCTTCCAACAATTTAAAAATATCTGTCTAAACTGAATCTCGCTTCTCTTTCGACGAGTTCACCAAGCATGAAAATCCGTTTCATGCGTACGTCGTCTGTCACATCTGAAAAGTAAATAATGATAGATAATCAGAACATAAGATATGACGTACAGGGCATTATCATGTATAAACATAAATCTTTGTCAATATTATGACTAAATCTATGAACAAATGGAAAAAGGATAATGACATTTACACCTGATATTTCTCATCTAGCAATATATCTTCCCGGGCGAACTGGAGGCGATTTGGCAGTGTCGTTGTTCAACTTCTCTTTGATAACGTTCTGTGAATCCTCTCTACACGTAATCGTTTTTTTTCACTGTGGGAGATGTTAGCGGGAGCTGTAGGTCTTTATATAAATTTTGGCTGCCTTGGTGAAGGGGCATCCGGAACGAGGGCGGTCGTTTAGGGTGCCCTCCTCCTCCCACTTTATTCACCTGTATACCATCGAGCGGGAGACACCCGGCTCTCTAGTTATTTCCTTGGGGAGAAATTACTTTCCCTCATCCCAATGATGCGGCCTCTATTTGTAATTTCAGATTCCCTTGCGTCCATCTTGAAAAAAGGTGTTAGCTTGGAAACCTCGTTTATGTCATTATGGTGTCATATACCATCGGACATATTCTTGTTTAGCATATATTAGGATTTGACATGCACTGATAAATACAAGTGAAATATGATTTACATATGTGTCAGATAAAATTCTTATTTTATCAGAATGAACAAGATTTTTCAATATATCAGATATGATACAGCACATGTATTAGGAGTAAGTTTTTAGACTTCTTTTTCACTCTCCTTGGAACCAGTCAATTAGTAGTTGCTCGAGTTGAAACAAACGTATTTTCTCGCTCAGCTGATCGAATGCGACTCCTCAACTTACGGAATGATAATAGCGAAAATTATGGTCAGATTCTAGCACAAGATAAAAAGTATTCAGAATAATCGAAAATTATTATACATACTGTTTAGCTAATCATCACCAAATATTGACTTAGAATTTCTATAAATATTTCATGCACGCACGCGCACGCACACACACACACACACACACACACACACACACACACACACACACACACACACACACACACACACACACACACACACACACACACACATAGTGAAAATATCTACATATTTATTGTAGGCCTAATGCGATTTGCGTTCAGCTAATATTCTATAATGAAATATATATATAATTGTAGCATGCTTTTTGTTTATTAAATCAATGTTTTAATGTTTGGCTCAGGCGAAAAAAGGTCCCTCCATTAGTTCGATTAGTCGTTGCTAGATTTAGAAAGGTATCAGTGAATTTAAAGAATTTTATTTGATACAGCTACTATACATATATATTTTTTTAAGCATGAAGCATTTTCAAGTGGCGGCCAGACGTACAAAAGCGGGACCCAGCAATATAATTCCGCAACTGTATTTGTTAAGGATCGAAATACACGAAAGAGGAAAGTGCTTTCTGGTCGGAACAGGAAAATCGTGACCGCATGAATACAGAGAACGACAAGCTTAATGCCTAGTAAGTTTTAAGGTAGACATATCTAATGTAATGTTCATTTTCTGAAATCCCAGGATAGAGCGCGAGCACGCCGGTCTCCGCCGCATTGCTGGTCTGGGCGTCACCGTCACCAGAGGAGCTGCATCAGCCATGATGTTCACCTACTCCACGCTCCTCGTCACAATGTGCCGCAATGTACTGTCGTTCCTACGGTGAGTCATCATGTTTTGTA